GCATAAAGCGCGCGGGCAAGACGTCACACACACAGCTACGTTCATTGTCTAAAACAATCGAGTAGCGCGGTTAGGGATTTTCGGAATTATTTAATTTGACCCACTTGCCCCCCCCCATTTTTTTACCCGCTTGCTTTAATATGTTGTGGCATCTTCTGACAAGATGGGTGAGCTCACAAAATCGACCATCTTCTCCTTCTCTTAACCCTCTGAATTTAGTAATGTCCTGGGTTATGGCATCTGAGATTATTCTTGGATCTCCGTAATATAGGTCTAGGTACTCCCAGCAGGCAGCATAGTCAGTTCCGATCCCCTTTAACATGTCTAAGGGTTTACCCATCAAACTTGTCCTCAATATTGACACAGCATCTCTGGGATCATACAATGGGTCCACCATGTGTTTGAAATCTTCTCTGAACGTCCAGTATTCCCGAACATCCCCACAAAACACAGGCAGTTTAGGTTTTTCAACCCTTGGCTTCAGTTTTACAGTGTTCAGCTAAGCAGCTGGCTCCGGCGATTCAGCTCGCAGACTGTTATTCTGAATGGATGACTTTGGTAAGGCCGAAACAATAGATGATGGTGGTGTCAGATTCAATGACCCCGGTAGGTGCTCAGATAGTTGGACTTTCTTGGTGGCAGACTTGAATTTAGCTTTGACAGCCACAAACTCATCAAGGCATTTCTGAAGATACTCTTCCTCCTTGTCATACGCTTCCGAGTTCTCTATCGTCTCACAGTATTCATCGTGCCGGTCTTGTAATTCCGTATATGCTAGATAGGAATAACCATTTGTCTCTGACGCATTGGACGCGGGACAATGCTGACAAATTCACAACGAGAGTGAGGCAATTTGTATCGACCTGCGCGCCATCTAACGAGCAATTAAATAAGCCTGCTCTATCTCCCCCAATTGTCTTTGGGTTACAAACGAAGACTGAAAAAATAATAATATCCTTCTGAATCAGTTCCTGATTTCACATTATAAGAGTCAGCACATAACATAGTCCTTCTGCCACGCAGGAGGTCGTCGAGCTCTACGTGTTCTGTCGGGAGGCAGAGTTCCAGGGGCACCCACTTCCCTGCGCGGGGTCGTGACTCTGGCTACACTCGGCCTGCTAGGGGGTGCAGCAGGAGTAGTAGGTTGGACAGCAGGTGTGACACGGGGCGTCCCGCTGGTACTGGGTGCAGGCGATGGCACTGACGGTGGTTCAGCAGACGGGAGTGGTGCTGGGGTAACCGCCGGTGGGGCGGTGATAGCCAAT